TATGACTTCTGATCTATTATGACAATTTGAGATTGGCTTTTTAGCGCTTTTTTTTTTTTTATAAATTTTTTTAATTTTTTCGGATCATATCATCTTTTATTTTTATATTAAAAAAAAACAAAAAAATAAATTTTTTATCACCTTCTCAAAACACCACTCTAAGTTATCCAACAACCATGCATTTATACCCGTTTGGGAAGATGGTTTTGGCTATTTTAACCACAAAAAACAAAATAGACTATTTTAATCACAATAAACAAAACATCACATCCAATCCATAATTATTATACTATTCTCTCATAAAAAAAGTCTAAAAAGTCAAAAAGTCCTTCCCAAACCAAACTTTTTAATCCAAATTAAAATATTCAAAAAAATCAAAAAATCAAAAAACTAAAAAACCAACTCACTTCCCAAACAACACATACCTCTTCTCAAATTCTTTTATTGGTGTTATTGTTATTGTACTTCTTGTACTCTCTTTTTCATCAATAAATTTACTTTTGTTAATAAATTTTTTTTCTTGTCCAATCAAAATCAAACACTTCAATTAATTTCAACTTACAAACGATTTTTTAATCAGTGGAGAGAAGTTCAAGAAGTAGCCAAAAAAGAGCGACAGACAATCAGTGTGTTTGGTTTGAATTTTTTGAATTAAATTTTTTGAAAATTGAGTTTTTTGATTTTTACATTTTTTTATTTTTAGTGAATATTTTTAAAATTTTAAATATTTGTTTTACTTTTTTAGATGCACCTTACTTAAATGTATCTAAAAAGTAAAAAATTTGTAAAAAAATATTTTTAAAAATTAATAAATACATAAAAATACAAAAAATGTACTGAATTTTCGTATTTTTTTTTATATTTTTAGTATCTAGTGAATTTTTAAAAGTTTTTTTAATTTTTTATAATTTTTTAAGTATATTTATATTAGGTATGTCTAAAAATTAAAAAAATTGCTCAAAATATTAAAAAAATTCAATAAAAACCAAAAAATACAGAAAATAAGAAAGTAAAATTTTTTGAAAAGTGTTTTTAAAAAATGATAACCAAACATGCTGAATGTTTTTTTTTGTAACTATGATTTGCCTATGCGATATACACATAAGAGTGACAATGTTATGAATGCAGCAATTTTAATTGTGAATATGGTTTCACTCTCATTTTTTGTTGATTGCTCATTGACATCAGAACTAGACGAACCAAATTAAAAAAAAAATCCATGAAATTATAAAGGATAATTTATTAGAAAATTTTCTTTCAAATACTTGTATTTCAATTAGTTTATAAAATATTTTTATTTTTGAATAAATTTTATTATTTTGGACATTTAATCCACAAAATCCTAATTATCATATTTAAAAGTATTTTATCGACAATTTTACCATTATAAATATTTTTTGAACCTCTAGTAACTTGGTAATGTGAACATTCACATTAAATAAACGTTAACAGTGTAAATGTTCGCATCATGGAACATTCATATTGTCAATGTAGATATTAATACGCGTTTCACTTTATTATTATTATGAGTATTTTGGTAAGTATGTCACCCATAGGTTTATTAGAATAAGAGTATTGTTATTAGTACCCCATCAATTATTTTGGACTCTTCATTCTTTAACTTTTTTTTTTATTATTATAGTAATAATCTCAAATGAAATTATTAAAAAAGACAACAATAATTGTGGGACACCCCATCTCACAATTAAGTCCACACACCCACTATATCATGAGTTAGGATTTATGAGAGCACCCACCTCCATCACTACCCATCTATATATTTCCCAAATCACACCCTCAAAATCTACTCACCATCAAAACTTTGAAAATCCTTTGGCGACAATATTTCGTGGTAACGGTGGCAACTATTTAATTGCATACACTTCTCTGACAATGATAATGAATGGAAGTTTTTCCGGCAACTACAACTCCATGAGACGAGAAGAGTACAACAATAAAAACTCAGAAGAGATTCATAATTTTGATAGTGTTCTTAGCTCAAAACAAATTGGTCTTACAAGGGTAAGTTTCTAAAAAAAATGACAAAAATAATAAAAACTGTTAATTATTTTTTTAGGACTAAACTCTTGAACATACGACCAAAATTCGGGAACACAGGCCCGAACATTATTTATTTATTCGGAAACAGATAATTGAGCATTTATTTTCTCAAGTCATGAAGAAGTATGTGGAAATAAAATAGTAATCACCTTCGTGGGTTTGTTAGGGTTTTTTTTTGGAGTATAGGGGTGTGCATTCAATTGGATGGGCGGAATGTTTTCACAAGAATAATTTTGGTATTATTTGGAGGGAAAAAATAAATTTTAAAAGTTTTATAATATAAGTGGGGGTCCAAAAAAATAGGAGGTTTAAAATAATTGATGAGATCTTAATACTAAACTATTTGTAAGAAGCAGTATTGGATTGTATTAATTATATGTATGTTTTCTCTTATTTCATGACTTTGTATTTAGTGGCTCTAATCTAACTCGATCAATTATTATTATTATTTTCTTATTCATAAAAAAAAAAAAGAAAAAAAAGAAAGAAAAGAAAAGAAACTAAACCCAGTGTTCCAAGACAAACAAGGGTTTTGGGTAGTTCACCTGTCTAAATTTAAAATTCAAGAAAAATCACATTGTCTTTAGGTTACTTTTGGGAAGTAGGCATGGTTTTTTGACTTTTTAGCTATTTAACTTAAACCTCGTTTGGGAATAGGTTTTTTTTGTAATTTTTTGGCATTTTAGCTAAAATGTGATGTAAAAAAAACTAGTATGTTTGGGATGACTTTTTAGCTTTTTACGAAAAGATGTGCAAAAAGTAGAGAGAAAATGAAATCTTTGACTTTTTGGTATGGATTGTTGGCTTTTTGATTTTTTTATTAACTTTTTGACTTTTTGGCTAAAAAAGCCACTTGCCAAACGAGGCCTTAGGACTAAAAAGCCTAGTTTGGATTGTGATTTTTGACTTTTGTGAGAAAAAAAGTAAAAATAATTATGGTTTAAATGTGATATTTTATTTTATTAATTTTTTAGCCTATTTTATTTTTTTATGACTATTTTAGCAAAAAAAAAAAACTCCCATCTTTTCATGTCAAACAAGGGCTTAATTTAAATTCATTTTTAAACGGCCCAGTCAAAAATATGTTTTCGGTTCGGAGGCCCAAAAAAAATCTTATATCAACACTTACTCAAAAAAATCTATTTATCCAAAATTATCTAATTGTAAAGGTCGAATAAGAAACTTAAAAAAAAAAAAAAATAAAAAAATCTACGAATAAAGACCCTTAATAAAAGATTTGAAAATTAAAGTGTTTCCTAAGAAAATGGAGGCTATGTTTAATTGAGTTTTCGAGGCTTTTTATTTTTTGAATTTTTTATGAAATTAGTTTGATAAAAATAAACACTAAAAAAGATATTTTTTAATTTAAAAAATTATTTATCTAAAAAAAAAAAGCCATATCGAAAATAATGACAGCTTTTGTTTTGTTTTGCATTTTTTTCACCAAACAAGTTTACCAACTAAGATATTTTTAAATTCTTAAAAATAATTTCTACCCAAAAAAATATATATGAAAATAATGAGTGTTTTTGTTTATTTGGTTTATTTATTTTTCATTTTTTATTAAACAAATTTTAAATACTAAAGGGCGGAGGGTTTACGGTAAGGAGTCTAGATCCTCTACTTGCACTCTCTCCTTACCTCCTTACTTGCAATGGTAGAGATGCATCTTAGGATGATCCAACAATCTATATCTGATTTTTTTTTTTTTAAAAAAATAATTTTAAAAACACTTTTTTTTTAAAAAAATAGTCAAATCTGAACCGTTAGATCATTCTAAAATGCATCTTTACCATTGCAAGTAGAGAAACAAAAAGAAAGTGCAAGTGGATCCTAATTCTCATGGTAAGGTCAAGGCGGTTTCTCATATAAATTAGGGTTTGAGAATTAACATGGCTATGTTTTAACTGCCTGCAGTACTATTGATACAGTACCATACAATTATAAGCTTCACCCAACACCATTCAAAAAAAATTGAAAAACTTTGAAAAAAACAAAAACAAAGGAGTAATGATGATATACAAAACACACAAATTATACACAAAATTTATGAAAGATGAAAAATGATAGAAATTTTTCTAGACTCATTTTTTGATTTTTATCAAGAAGAAAATATTTTTTATTCATGAAAATCAATATACGATACATAACTAGTAATGTGTAAAAGTGATAATTGACTACTAATTAAAACAGACATGAGAAAGAAAATTATTTTAGATATTCTAATAAGGGCTTAGCTTCTGTCCAGTCTGATTGTTGGGCCTGTGGAGGTCCATCACGGGTCCCATTTTGATAATCTGAACCGTTCAATGTGTAGAACTCGTCGAGTACTATAAGCATACAAAAAATCACATCAATCGGATATCGGTAGCTATGTGATCAAATCAGTTTTGTATAAAAAAAATGGACGGTGAATAAATTAATGGTTGACAAAAATCTGATTTGATCACATAACTACCGATATCCGATTAACGTGATTTTTTACAGGCTTATAGTACTCGACGATTTCTACACATTGACGGTTCAGATTATTAAAACGGGACCCGTGATGAGCCTCCACAAGCCCAACAACACGATCCAATCCGATTAAGGACTGGACAGACGCCTTCTAATAAACTGTCTTATAAATTTAAAGAGCATATCTAAATTTTGGATTAGAGTGACATTATTGAAAATTTTGGATTAGAGTGACATTATTGAAAATTTACACAAACCTAGTGTTAAACTTTATATTCATTAATTTCAAACGAAAAGTCTCAAAAAATGACTAATTTGCCATTTACGCATCATTCTGGTACAGTTTTTGTTTTGTTTTTTTTTTTAAACAAAAATTCTGCTGGAAAATTATTTTCAAAATAAAACAAAAAAACCAAATAATGGCGTCATATTTGTGTATATATATCTCTCCATAGAATCCCTCCCACCCACTGTTAACCATCTATTTGTGTTCCCTAACCCTCTCTCTCTCTCTCTCTCTCTCTCATCCGATTATGGGCAGAAAGGCAGATCTCAGGCGTGTTTATCTGCCTCTGCCTTTCTCTCTCCCATGTCTACTATTGCTATTTTGTGGTTGGTACTTAGAAGTTTTAGATCATGTATGTTCTTTGTATTCCTTTGAAATAGTACAGTCTAAACTTCTCCTTTGTTTTGCTTAGTTTGTTTTATTGATTTTGTTCATCTACTAATTGCCAGACACTAGATAACATTTATATGGTTTCCTTTTGCCTGAAAATCTGATCCAAATATAACCCAAAAAATAAAAATAAGAAAACAGCTTTTGTTTTTCCATTCCTTCTATTCTGATTTTCAAAACTGATTTGTTTCTAATTAAAGGAAAAAATTCTTTCCTTGTTTTGTTTTCTTGTGCTGTTGTATGAAAATGAGTTTGAAAGCAGTAGATTCTTCTTCGCTACTGTCACCTCTAATCGTCACGATTTGCCCTCTAGTGGTAATAGACTCGGAGGCGGCTACCAAAATCTAATTTTCTCTATATCTCTCCTTTTTTTTTTTTTTATTAGCGAAAGTCAATTGTTAGTTGTTAAATTTTATTTTTATTTTTATTTTTTTGTATTTTTGGAGGTTTTTTAACTGGACTAATTTTTGCTTTGATGATTTTTGTGTGCACCCATCTCTCTCTCTATTATCATCGTCGTCGCTGCTATGCATGGGATTGATTGACAGTCGTTGTTTGCGGGTGTAGCATCATCAAGATTCACATGCAAATCCACGCGGCGGTGATGTAATTTCTCTCTCTTTCTCTTTGCCAGAGGTTTTTGAAGGTGAGAATCTTGATGATGCTGCATCGGCAATAAACGACTACCTATATATATACACAATACTCTCCTATAAATAGATATATAAAGAAGGCTTACAGATGACCCACTTTGCATTTCAAGAAGGTGATTCTATTTCTTCCAGGTTTCCGTCAGGTGGGTTTCGTGCTTCTTCTTCTTCTTCTTCTTCTTCTTCTTTTTTTTTCTTCTTCTTCTTTTTTTTTTTTTTTTATTTAATTTTTTTTTTTTTATATATACAGAAATCTATCTATAGATTCTGTAAGTGTTTGACACCAAGTCTTTATCTGTTTTATTTTATTTTAATTTTGTTTCTTTCGATATTATTTGTTTTGTGGAGTACCAAAGACTCATGTGTGCTGATGTGGATGACTGCTGAGCTTGCAGATCTGTGATTATTCTCCTGATCAGTATAGAAGCTTTGATGAAACTAGTAACTCTTTGGTAAGTTACTATAAATATTTTCTTTCATATCAGTAATTTGGGTAAAAAATAAATAAATATAAATATGTATTTGCAGTGCTGATCATTTGATAGAGATGGGTAGAGGATATTCTTGAGAGAGAGAGAGAGAGAGAGAGAGTGAGTAGCTGATGATGATGCATAAATTACTACATAAAGGTAATTTTTCATACCCTTAATGTATGCACTTATTGCTATTGTAAGGTGACAGATCCACCAATGAACTCTTACCTATCTTTATTTTTAGATTTTTTTATTTTTATTTTGAATGTTTTTTTTGAAAGATTAATATGTTTATGCATTCCCCAAAAAACTGCTAACATTTAGAGAACAAATAGAAAGCCATGGCTTATGAGGAAAAATAAATAAAAAAAGTAAATAAAAAAAACTCAAAACCAAGCCAAGGCTTATGATATAACAATAGGAGAAATAACATTTTAGTTGTAAAGTTAAAAAATAATATCAATCTCAAACAAAGTTTTTCATTAATGTGAAATGATTTTTCCTAAATTCAACTGAAATGATGTTTTCCCTATAACAATATGCTGAAGCTTTGGCTTTTTCTATCTCTGTCTTCTTTTAGAAAGGATTCGAAGTGTATTTGATGAGTAATACTAGTACTATACAAACAAAAATATTTATTCAAATTGATTTGACAATCTTGGATCATATCATTTTATATGACAAAAAAGGAAATAACAGTTCAATTTATATTTGTAAAAAAAAAAAAAAATCAGATTAGTGATATATTTTAATAATTAAAGTCATAAATTTTTTCATCAATAAGTAATTATTTTGGAAGAAAACACAAATTTGTAATTTTTCGTAAAAAAAACCTATCAATGCGACTTATATTTTCAAAAAAGTTTGCTCTTGCATCATTTTGATATGAAATTTTGTATAAATTTCAATCATTTTTCATGTTTGATTAAATATATGGACATTCTCCCAAGTGGTTTTTATTTTTTTGGTATGTGGAAGCATTCTAGGTCTTTGAAAATTGGAACTTTGGGAACTTTGAATGGAAATCATGCAGGGAACATGTTACATTGTCACTAATATGGTTGGGTTGCTTTTTAACATTTATCAGCCATCACCTTTGTAGGTGGACCAACCCTCCATCCCAAGGTACATCTTGCTACTGGTCCCTTCAGATACTGTTCAGTGCACCAATATTCACATCTCCAATAATAGTACCAAAAGGGGTTCACAAAAATATCTTTAATTTTGGTTCATTATTCATGACAGCTATGATTCAGTCATTTCAACAACATATAGAGATCTGTGTGCCTCCATCACTGTCCAAGAGCTGGTTCTCAATTTCTGGGCTCCAATGGTTTATACTTTGAACTGAACCTATTGCTAAATTAACTCTACACAACAATGTAAATCACTATATAATTTCCAAACCCCAACATGCTAGGTTTTGAACACATGTAGCTCTTTGCTTAGGATCAATTCTTGACCAGTTTATAATTGTGCATTCCTCCTCTAGATGGGGCATCATGAGTTGCACTATCATTTATCTTTGGCTTTTACCCAAATAGGATTAGGATTTGTTTGAATAAGTGGATTTGAAATGAAGGATTTTGAAGACAATTTATAAAACTGTAAAAAGTTAATTAATGGATGTAAAATTAATAGTTATGAAGTAAATGCTGACATAGAGATAGGCAATATGTGTGTTGTATTTGTACAAGTAGAATCATTCATGGAAAGATTTCTAGTAAATATGTTCATCAAGTTATTTTAAATTCCTTAATCTAAATGCTACTTTGATAAGTATATACACTTTTGAAATAAGTGATGTCCGATTTGCTGGTTTCAAACTATACATACAAACACAATGTTATGGTATTTGTTCATATAAGAAACACTGAAAAATTTTAAATGTAGGACACACTATATTGGAGACACAATCAAAATATTTTTTTTTGTATATTTATTATATGATATATTTATATATATATATAAGGATAAAAAATTATTATATGTCACATAAATGAATATTTAATCAAAAGACATAATTTTGAAAGTTTATAGGAAGATTAAAGTTTATAGGAAGAGAATAAGTATAAAAATTTACATTATTTTTCTTTATCATTAGATTTTAAGATAAATAGACATGTTTCTCAAGTATCTAAAGTGTATATAAGTCTATAACTTTTTTTTTTGTCTTTTTTTTTAAATGGTAGAACATATTTAGAAATTGAGAAGTGTCTGGAGAGTGTTGTCTTCGTGTCCGATACAACAAGCCGCCTTCTTGAAAGTGTTGGTCTTTCTTAGCTGGTCACTTCACATCATGTAGTTTCCTTTAGTAGCTAGAAAATTTATCTTGGCCTTTTGATCACCTGAGGACCCTCAAACTGGTTCACCCATTTATGGTGCTGTTTGATGAAGCTTATTGTAAGCTAAAAATTGATAATCAGAAAGCAGAAATCAGAAGTACCCCTTCTTTAGCTTCTAAATAATCAGTTTTTCTTAACTTATTTAAGCTATTTCTGTCTAAAAAGCTGTAAGCAGAAGCTGCATCAAACAGTCTAGAACAGATTTTTAAATTAAAATAAGCAATAATCACCCCTCATAATTCACACCAAACAGCCCCTATGTTGCTTTGTTGATGCCTTGATGTCACATAATTCCACCTAATCAGGTAATTGAGGCTCCAGCTGCAACCTACAAGGAAAATTCAATTTTAGCTACTGCCCATTTTTTAGTCATAATATCTAAACATATTATTTAGTGTTAGAAGCCTATAAATTTTGGATTGCTTATAGTTATATATCCCTCTCTTTTTTTTTTCTAATTTTAAAAAAATGGATTTGTCAAAAGGAAGTTGATTAAGAATTATACAACTATTTGATCATGTTCAATATTTCAAGATTGAAAATTGAAATACCTTCTAGCTACTATAAATGAAGGGCAATTGTTCCTTGTAGCTAGTTAATAATATTTCAAAATTTTCACTTATTGGACAAGTGTATCTGTTTCTATTCAGATGCATTTTCCATTCACATTATGTGCATTATTATCTCAACAGCTAGCTTATAATCATAAGGTTTCCACAGTATTTTCCACAATATTTTTTGCATTAATTATTGTTTTGTTTTAATTTCTCTACATATCAATCACCATCATTTAGAGCAATCCCTATTTAATTTTTAGAGAGATGCATATTAATAATCAGAAGAAAAAAAGAAAAAGAAAAAGAAGAAGTGAAAATCTTGTAGTTGAACTTGATTCCTGGCTAATCTTAGTGAATTACGTTGAGGAGATAAGATTTGACAAAATTGTCATTTGTCTTCTATTATTATAAGTCCTTTAGTTGGGTATATTCTATCAACTTGATTAATCATTTATCAATAAGCACTTTACTGTTTTTGTATTTTTGTAATTTTTTTGGAGGTACTACTATGGCATATCAGGCTGGATATATTGATCCAATTCTTATTCGACACAAAATTGTTCTTATCTGATATTTCATCAAGTGGATGGCGCATGCACTTGATATTCCATCTTCTTTTCCACATTTATAATGTTTTGTTTTCATTAATAAAATGCTACCTTTTCCAATTTCTTTTAAAAAAATGGATGGTGCATGCATCATACCTAAGTTCAGTTTATCATTCTTTTAAGTTCTCATTTTTAAAAAAAATTATTTTTTGGGTAAGGCTAGTTCTGATATAACCACATCAAATTCGGGTCATGGCCCTATATATAGGGAAGATCATTGTAATGAAGGAGATTAATACAAAATACAGTGGCTTTTCTGTGACTTTGTTTTTCTTAGAAGTGTCATAGACACCACATTTTTCCCCCATCACATCAGTTTAGGGATAGACACATGCATGCACCTTCTTTAAATCCTTGTCATCTTTTTCTTTTTTCCCCTTTTTTTTTTTCTGAAAAAAATAAATTATTAGAGGATTTGTAGAAAGTCAAATTAAGTTTTGGTGTGGAGGGATTGGACAGATGATCTGAAGTGATTTTGCTTGAAAGCCCATTGTAGTTTGTTTACTTTGCCTAAAATAAATCTGTTTAAATTCACACACACAAGCACAATTTTGTGCGTACACATTGATGCTTTGTCATCGTCCCTATTAGCCGATATGCATGATTTTAGATTTTTGATATCAATATTTACTAATATATCAGTTGATATTATTTGATACCAGTAATATATAAACACATTGTTTAAAACCATGCCTCCTACACATGATTTCTAGAATCCTCTACTGACTATTCAAAAGCTTGATGAATTGATATTGTAATTTCTCTACTATTTACTAGTCAAGTAGGTACTGAGAAAAAAAAAAATTGTTTGTTTGTTTTTTATTCTTCTTCTATCTTTCCTAGCTAATCTTGGCTTGAGGAGATGTACACTTAGAAAAATGTTATGCAACTAGAATGTGTATTGAAAATTATCTCAAAATTAAAGTGTATGATGTAAAATTAAAATTAAATTAATATAATATGGGCCACACCGAATAATTGGGTTCACAAATGCAATTTTTAGATAATTTTTCTGAATATGCAACATTGTTGGTGCACATAACATTCATCAATTTGGTTTTCACAAGCAACCCTACAACTTGATTTATTTATATGTGTTGATTTGATTTACATGGAATTATAACTTTGGGGAAAAAATTCAATCTATTTATGTTGAGTCAGGGTATTTTTTAAATATTTTTGTACTTTGTTTATTTATAATTAAATGTTTTTGTACTTAACATATTGCCTAACTCTATTTTTTTGAGTGAACCATGTAAATTTTATATTTTGTGTGTGTGTGTGTGTGATTTATAATTCTTGTGTGCTTGATTTATTTATATGTGTTGATTTGATTTACATGGAATTATAACTTTGGGGAAAAAATTCAATCTATTTATGTTGAGTCAGGGTATTTTTTAAATATTTTTGTACTTTGTTTATTTATAATTAAATGTTTTTGTACTTAACATATTGCCTGACTCTATTTTTTTGAGTGAACCATGTAAATTTTATATTTTGTGTGTGTGTGATTTATAATTCTTGTGTGTTGTTCTTCTTTGTTTTTCAATCTCTATTCTAACAAATTGCTCTTTTTTTTTTTGTTTTTTTGTTTTTTTTTTTGTTTTAAAACCTTTCTAAACTTTATTTGTTAATGCAGATTGGACATAAAAGATTGGAAATCCTTGCAAACCAATCCCTTGGATTGAAAGGAAAACAATATCGTTAGGTGGATGCTTAATGGTAATCTGTTGAACATTGCCTTCAACGTTGTAAAAATGGGTTTGAACCGTTACAATCGTTATAATAGTGTGACATAAATTTATAAATGCAACAATCAAGGTTTTGAAAAGCGGTTGCGGTCGCTGTAACGGTGGCGGTGGCGCGGTTACGGTTGCGGGGTGTAAAGGCCGTAACGTAACGGTTGCGGTAATCGGAACCATAAATTTTTTTTTTATTTTTTGCACAATTTGAAAAAAACTTACCGATACACATTTTTTTTTCCATGATCGTATTTATTGGGTTTTAAAATAAATATTGATCAATTTTTGTAAATTTTTAAGTTTGATCCAATATATTTCATATTTTTAAATTACTATAAATTGAGTTTTTTACATTTTATTTTAATAATTAATGACTTTATATTATGCAAAAAATCAATCAATCACTAACTATTATATATAAGATAAACAATGACAAAAGTAAGCGAATAAATAAAAATCTAAATATATATATATATATATATATTAATCAAGCCAAATAGATGATGACCACAATTATTATTATTATTATTATTATTATTTTCAAACAATATATAGATAGGCACACACAAACAAAATGGTTGAGTGATAGCAGCTGAATAGAATAACATAGGTGTTACAACTTCAACAAATCAATAACATGTTTTTCATTTTCCATATTCTCTCTCTATCTCTTGTTCCTCCATCTTCCCTCTTCTCTCTCTATCTCTATCTCTCTTCCCCCATTTTCAACTTTTTTTTTTTGTATTTTTTTGAAAGAAGCAATTCGGAATAGTTATGTAACGGTACGTAACAGGCCGTTACGACCGTTATAACAGCCGCTATGACCGATATACCTGTGAATCCCAATCACACTGCAAAAGCGGCCGTAACGGATGACAGTAACTACCGCAACCGTTACGTCGCTTTTTAAAACCTTGGCAACAATAGTCACCATTAAAAGCTGTATTATCTGTTTACAATCCTTATACAATTATGACCTCATAACCGTTACAATTTTATTTTTGTAAGATTCTGTATATATTTCTCTCATTTTTTCTTTTTTCAATCTGTTAATATCACAGGAGAGACAAATTTAATCATGTGAAGATCTTAGATTTATATACTTTGAACATTCAATATTCAAGTTCTATACGATTTGAGTTTCTATCAAGTTTAGATTAACTTTGTTCCTTTTTTCTTCAATTTTTTTTATTTGTTTATTATTATTATCACTATTTTTTATTTTATTTCAGCAACTCCCACTTTTTTTTTTTTTTAAATTTTTTTTTTTTTTTTAAATTTTATTTCAGCAACTCTCAATTAGACACCTTCACACATACTGTAAACACCCTTTTTTTACCCTAATTTTTTCCCCCTTAAAGGATATTAGTGTCATTTTAGAAATCTCAGGCAAGACTCTTAAATAAATCAAAGTCCTTGAGCTTGACTCGTGTGCATTAAAAGCTCAACTTGGTATATAAAAGTTTGTTTAAGATCAATTTGTTATATAAACTAGTTAAACTTTGTCTTTTTTGTTGGTTCCTCACCAACTGACATTTGGAGCTTCGTGTTAGCTCCAAACTCCTCTTTATTGGTGTAACTTATCATACCTTGTATGTTTTCATCAATAAAGGTTTATTTGCCGATCAAAAAAAAAAAAAAAACTAGTTAAATTTTGAACACATTTTAAAACTTTTTTTTTTTTTTTAAGTCAATCTTGAATGATTTACGACTTGATTCGACTCGATTATATGCACTATAAAAAAATAAGTTACTTGAGTTCAGCTTGATTAAAATTCGTTTGAGATTGACTATGCCTTCGTTTGGCTAACTTTGTTAGGCTAAAAAAGCATAAAAGACAAAATAGGCTAAATAAGTTAATAAGATAAAATGTAACATCCAAATCATAATCATTTTACTTTTTTCTCTTACAAAGTCTAAAAAAGCCAAACCAAACGAATTTTTTAATCCCAAGCTAAAAATGTCCCCACTCAAGAAAATTAACTAAAAAAGTCAATGCCAAACGATGATCACAAGGGCAAACAAGTTAAGTTTGAATATATTTTGAAACCTACTAAGTTTTTAAGTAAAGTTTAACTAATTCTTTTTTATCAGCAAAAATAAAGAAACTTTGTTGATGAAATCAATACACTATGCCCTCGTTTGGGAAGAAAAAGTTTGGGACTTTATGGCTAAAATAGTCGCAAAAAAATAAAATAGACTAAAAAGTCAATAAATGTCACATTCAAATCATAATTATTATATTTTTTTTCTCACAAAAGTCAAAAAAATCAAAAAATTTATCCCAAACAAGACTTTTTAGTCCCAAGTTAAAATAGCTAAAAAGTCAAAAAACTAACTCACATTCCAAACAAACTCATATGAATAAATATCAATAAAGGGGAATGTGAGAGCAAAGAGACATCATATAGTATATCTTCCTAATTCTAATTAGGTTGGCACAAAAAAGACACCCACTCATATGCTAAATCAAGCCAAGAGCATTGATGAGAAACCGACAGAAAAAGAGGGAATCAAAGCAGAAAAACCAAGAAAGCTACATACAACAAGCCTCAATACTAGGTTACGAATAGTTTAACAGCCAAGGAAAATCAACAACCATAACTGAAGACACATTAGCAGCACCAGCTTCCAAACTTAACAGCCCAAAAAAGAAACCAAAAATTGTAAACATAAATTTCAGAACATAAATCTTACACTTTGGATCATTTACCATGTGTATTATCAAGAAATCAAGACAAAATGACATACCTGAATCCATTGATGAACGGTTAAACGGAAGCGTGATTATCAATGAACTCTTTGTTATTGATTATGTTATTGCCTTCTAATCCTTTCCCCTTTGGTGCCTTATGTTTCTCCTTGAGAGGATTTAGGAAAAAAATGGCAGTGTTCTTATTTCCACCTGGGAAGGAATAGGGACCATAACCTTTTAAAGGTTGTAATTGGTTTTCAAAACTGAAAGATTGTGGAAGTTCAAAAGAAAGGAAAACCAACTTTAACCAATATGTTTTAATTTATATTTCTGCCCCTCATAGAAATAGAAATTATACAACTAGTATCTACACATTAGGTCCATAACACATATACCCTTAAGCCTATTAACTAAATTGAATCACTTAAATTGTAGGCTTCTTATAAATGATAACACCACATTTAATTATGTGGTCCCATTGAGACATTATCTAACAAATTATCCCATTATTCTTATGTCATTCCATGTTGGTAACCAAACAATAGAATGGAAATGTACATTCCATTCCATTCCATTCAACATTATGTTCCATTCTTACTCTCATTCTATTCTCATTTCATTTCATACTATCGTACCAAACATACTATTAGCACTTGTTGAACAATTCAAAATATAATAAACATTAAATTGCAACCAAGCGGAAATGACAATTAGAAACCTTATATTGTGGGTAAATATAATTATTTTTTTTTGTCAATCGATAAGAGAGTAATTACAAGTATGCGAAATATTTACATTATCAAAATAGACTACTAGCCTATAATAATTAGAAAATCAATAAAGCCTAACACAACTAATATATTAAGCCCACCAAACCCAAACTCAAACTTAACAACCAAATAAATGGCCATTCTATTTGAATCTAAAAATCATCTTAGTATGGCCAATTCAAAATTTAAAATTTTAATTTTTATTATATTATAATGTGAATTTACTAATAAGACAATACATATTAAACATTATAATAAAATAAAAATTCCTCACGGTACATCCTAATCAATTATACGCATTTTTTCCATTCAAATCTTTTTACCTTCTTCTCCAAGTTTTAATTATTTTCTCTTCTTCTTCTTCTTCACTCTAAAACTCCAATCCACTTTACCAAAATTCACCATTATCATCAACATCATTTTTTATGATATTGTTACTTGCAAATAGAAGAAAATTTGAACAAGTCAAACAATGAATGAGAGTAACAATCAAATCAGTATTTTGAAGCAACCTATCAAAAAAGAGGTAAGGATTCACA